CACACACACACACACACACACACACACACACACACACACACACACACTATCAGGAGTCACTTGGGAAAGAAATTGTCTCAGAGTCTGTCCCCCTGGATGGTGCTTGCCCTGGACCCCATAGAACCTTGTTTGTCTGTTAACTGAGATGTTCGTGGCTTGACTCAAGCTTGACAAGTCCTGACGCCCGGGAAGGTCAAAGCTGCAGGGTCCAGGCCCAAGGATCTCAGAAGAAAGGAACTTTGATTCTAGGTGGTAGGGACAGAGCTGAGCTGGATAAAAGCTATCGGGAAGCTGAGGCTGTTTGAAGGAATTTGAATATTTGAGACCTGTGCCCAATTAATTGAGTAACATGACACCATGCCTAAAATTTACCTCATCTGTGTGTATTTAGTTCTCTGGAAGTCTCTCACTGTGTAGTTATAAAATATAAATCTTGCAGTTAACTGTGCATGCAGTTTGCTGAAGTTGGTGAGGTGTGCCAGTGGGGGGGGGGGCAACAAGGTTTCCATGGAGACCAAGCTGGAGGAGAAGCGGTAGGTGTGGCTGGGCTAAGTTGGGGAGAGGTGAGCAGGTTGTTAAAACAGTTAGAGAGTTAGGTAAGCAGACGAGAGGTATGGCCAGCTCCTGTCACCAGGCTGAGCCCAGGCCACCTCCTGTTACTGAGATGATAACAGTTGTCCTTCCTTGGCTTTTGGGGGCTGGGATGTGTGCACCTTCTGGATTAGTCACTGTGTGTGTGTGTGTGTGTGTGTGTGTGTGTGTGTGTGTGTGTGTTTCCTAGTATGGAAAAGCAGCTGCCAGTGAGGTCTCAGGGTCGTCTGCTCTGGGATGACAGGTTTAATTGTTGTGCCTTTGGGGTGAGGACTGTGTTTCAGAGTAGTGTTACCTCAGTGGTGATAACTCTGGACCTGGACACTGGGCTTTCCCAGCTTCCTGAGCCCTGGGGCATGGGGCAAGGCTTCTTGAAAGTGTCATGAGCCACTCGTTCCAGAGTCAGTGAACTATGTGGTGTTTTACTATTTGACTCGGAGCATGTCTTGCTCTTAGCTCTCTGTTCCAGCCCTGGTGATGCCATTGTTAAGTTTCTATGTGGAACCATGCTGATTTGGCTGATTTAGGCAGAAAGTCATTTGGACCTGAAAATAAATGATGTTTATGGATGTTGAGTTTTATGAAACACAGTCAAGGTTTATATCTTGTTTGTTTCTTGCAACAGTCCTGTGAACTTGGGACGAGTTACTATTTCTCTGTATTCCCAGATGAATACCCTGTAGTTCAGAAAGAGAAATGACTTTCCCATGTTAGACAGCTAGTGAATTGTAGAGATAAAAAACCTAAACCAAGCCTCTGATTTGTTTCAAATTTATGTGACACCATTTATTGCCTCTCATACATAGGGATCCTGTTGGGTAGGGATCCACAGCTTTCTTCCTCCTTTTTTCTCCCTTCCTCCCTCCCTCTCTCCCTTTGTCTTTCTCTCCCTCCCTTCCTCTTTCTTTTACTCCCTTCCTCCTTCTCTCTCTCCCTCCCCTCCTTTCTCTCTCTCTCATTCTTTCTTCCTTGAATCCTTCAGTCTCCTTTCCTTAAAACCCATAGTTCTCATATAATCACTCCTTATCATAGGCTATTTTGGCTACACTGCTGTTTTAACTTTTTCAAATATGGTAGATTTTAGGGCTCTTCCAGTCCCTGGCACTTGTTTTTCTCTAGATCTGTGTGTCTGTCTTCTGACCGAGTCTTCCACCCCTAACTGCCCTCCCTCTATCTTTGTTTTTATTAGCTCTTAGAGGAAGTGTCATTCTCCTCTCCACGTGAAGTCAGGGCCTCTGTTTGACAACTGGAGTTTAAGCACTCATTAAATTTGTTACTTGGTGCTTTTTTTCCTCTACTAATTTAAGAGAATCGGGGCAAGACGGAGAAGCCTGGTGCTTTCCCAACACTTAGCATAGCATCTGGATTACAGTAAATGCTCAATAAACATTTATTGAATGAACAAAGTAAGAAGCTATTTATAACAAAGCTGCGGAGCCAAACACGAGAGTTGAGGGAAAGTGGGTGGTCTGGACTCCTCCCTCCCACCCCTCCCAACAGTAGAAGTGCCTTTGGGAGAAGTGAAAGCAGGAGGACTAAGAGTTCAAGGTCAGCCTGAGCTTCATGGTAAGTTCCAGGGCAGCCTGAGTTACACAGCTAGACTCTTGGCTCTAAAGGAGTGAGTTTTAGAGGGAAATACTCATAGAGGGCAGGTGAGCGGTGGCTTATGGTGTATACTTTGCTCACTGTGTTTGTAGACATGGCGCTGGAGATTTTGTGTCTCGTCTAAAGGCAGTATGGACTGTGAATCTCTCAGAGCAGAGCCTCTTCAGTCAGTAGCTGTTAGATGTTCTCTGAGCTTCCCTCTTGCTCTGATATTATTATTATTATTATATTATTATTATTATTATTTTCTTCTTCTTCTTTCTTCTTCTTCCTTTTCTTCTTCTTCCCCACCAGTAAAGGGACAGATTTCCCCCCCCACTCCTTTTTCTCTGGAGCCTCCTTGGAACAAGACATGCCATTGTCACACGACAATGTTTGCCTGGAGAGTGTGGCATGTGGCAGTGAATGACAGGTATGGCTGATACTACAAGCCAGTGAGAATGTGGTTATTGTCCTTCTGTGTAGTAGAAAAAAAGCCATTCTTTCCTCCCTCCACCTTCTCTTCCTCCTTCCATGAATCCCTCTGTCCCATCCATCTCTGGCATCCTCATAGCTCTAGGGAAGATGGTAGTGAAGTGTCAGATTTTAGTTCAAGGTCATTCTTTTGTTTCCTCATCTACAGAATGGGATGATAGCATGATTTTGTCAGCTAAGTGGTTACCGACTTCTGTGAGTCAACTCCAAGGTTAAGTGAGTGTGCTGAACTCATGGACAGGGCTATCTTCAGGGAACACTGAGAAACTGGATTTCAGTTCTCCTGAGGTAGGGAGTCCAGGGAGGGTAATGAGCTTTCTAAATATAGTGGAAACTTGGTCTGGAAAGGGGACACTGGGAGCCAATTTGGATGCCTCACATTTAGGTTGCCTGGTTGGAAAAAACCTTGATGGACATGAGCAGTCCATCTTTGGTTTTCCAAGGCCCCTTGGTGTCAGGTATTTGGGGGGGGGGGATTTACAGCTGCTGATTCTTTTCTCAGAGTTGAAGGATAAGGGTGTTGTTTATATATCACTGTAGAATTTAAAAAAATAAATGCTTCTTTGTATTTCACGACAGAGAACCAAACCAGGCTGCCTTGTTTGTAATACCTCTCAGTGTGTTCTAGAAAGAAGCATGTAGGAGACATGATGCTACTGTCAAGCTGGGGGTATATAGGACATCTTGAGCCATGTGTTTGGCTAGTGTGAAGGAGGTAATGGCAGAAGAAATGAATGGAGAGGGGTATGGCCCCATCTTCCTTAGTAAGAATTAAAGACTGTACAGAGTGTGGTGGCTTTCTTGGGAACTCCTCATCCTCTCTTCAGCCCTGCTACCTTAATTTCTCCCAGAAACCCTTGCTGTGCTCTCAGAGGTAAGACATGATTAAAGAGCCTACAGGGTGGGTGCCTGGCATCTGGCAGACCTCAGTGCACACTTTATGGGAATGTGAACCACTTCCTTTGTGCAACTAGCATTTTATTTCCTCCCTTCTGTTTATTCCTCTGCCTGAGGAATGGATAGTGCAGCCTGACTCCACCCCCCCCCACCACTCTGAATAATAAGAAGCAAATCTTTGTACCTCTGTGTATCCTTAGGGCATGCTGGGGGACCGAGAGAAGGCCAGAGTGGGTGGTGATGCTTGGTAAAGACTTTGAGCTATGTCAAGGTGTGGGTGGTGATGATTGCTGGGAGCCTGCGGTAGCTAATAGTCCCCAGTGGAGCCTGTGACCTAGAGTCGCTCTGGCTGGGGACAGCGAGGTTTATGTGGTGCTGTGGCTCTGCAGATGCTGCTCACAATGCTTTGAAGTATCGCTTTGGCCAGAGACCCAGTCCCTAGCCTGCCTGCTTTATGACTCATTCTAGCTACATATTTTGGTAGCGGGAAGGCTCACAGCGAGCTGAAAGGAAATAAGTACTTCTTACAAGTAGGAGCGCCTAGGTATTGGATCTGCACTTGAGAAGTCTAGTGTTCTACATGGGGTCATAGAAATGCTTTAAAAAAAATGAAGTGAAATTTACGTAGCAGCCCTTGAAAAGGCAGTGGCATTTGATACATCTATGTCCTGTGTATCCACTATCTCTGTCCAGGTGCATAACATTCTCATTAGTCCCAAAGAAAAATCACAGGTCCTCCCTCCTCTCCTCTTCCTCATCCTACTGGCAGCCACCCGACTGCTTTCTGTCCCTGTGGATTTACCTGCTCAGGATATTTTATATAAATTGAGTCAAGCGGTATGTGACCTTTTGTGTCTGGCACCTTGTTTTTAAGGTTTATCTGTATTAAAGCAATGAGTTAGCATGACATAAAATCTTCATTAACAACCACGACAAATCCCCAAAAGACAGCTGTCTCCCCAACTCCCCTCAAAGACTGTTGATTTCTCTTCAACCCACTAAAACAGTGTTTTCTTGGCCTCTCACTAACTGAAAGCAACAGAATGGACCACAGTCATCATCTCCCAAATGAGCTAGAGACTTTTATGGGGTTTTTCATATGCTCATTCATGGGTCACCGTCCAAGGGCTTCTGAATAAGTATCTATAGGATGTGACCTTACAGGTCTTCTGATTTGGGGGAGTGGACCTCTAGGTCTCTATTTTTCAGCCAGGTGAGCTCTGGGGTACTGATCCTGGGCTAGGTGGCCTCTGAGGGTTCTCTTAACCCTTTGCCTGTGAGCCTAGCAGAGGTCTGACAGGCTGCTGGATTTAGTTTGTCATAGATGCACTTTTACTCGAGATCCCTGTGGCAGGCAATCATATCCCTCCCCCTCCCCCGGTCCCTTTTGGAGCAGAGGTACTCCACCCCTCCCTGCCACCTTTATGGCCCCAATTAATTGTGTCTCATTTATCAGGCTCCAGCTATGCCCTGTGAGCCAGAGAAAAGAGAAAGAAGGTTGTTTATACCCGGGGGTTATGGTTATGACTGACTACTCGTCAAGGTTATGTTCCTGGAAAAGTCACACTCTCACCTTCTCCCACACCCTGGCAGGCAGCGTCCCTTCCTAGATCAGTGTGTGGAACTGGGAGAGGCTGGTGGAACCAATCTGCAAGCAGCCTGCAGCTGCTATACAGAGGCCTTCGGTGATAAGGAGAGCTAGCTGTGGAGGATGAAACAAACTAGACACCGCCACTAAGGGGATCCAGTCGCTGGAATCTGTCGGCTCTTGATGTTGGGGGCTGTCCTGAAGGCTGTTGGCTTCCTGGTCACAGTCCATGGAGGATGGCACACCAGTCCTTTGGAGACTGCTTCCTGCCTTTTCCTGTAGTATGGCTGCAGGGAAGAGAAATATAGGCTGCATGTCTTGACCTTAATAAAATTTATAGCTTGCTGCCCTGCCTCTCCTGGCTCCCTTGTCTGTCCTTGGGGTGCATTGATTCCTGCTACTGATTTGGGCCTTGTGCTTTTGGGGGATGGGCACCTGGGCTGCCTTGAAGATTAGTGGTGACTCATGAGGGAGTTATTCTCATGACTGGATAGGCTTGACGTTTCTGCCAAGGCAAGGAGCGGAACTGTTTGTGTGAATGCCTGGTGACCCTTGGATAAGCCATTGCTTGCCAGGAGCTTTCTCTTTCCCTCTGCTGGGCTGCCCTTTTCCACTCTGCTCTTAGGAATAAAGGGGGCATCAGTAGGACAGGCTTAAGAAAAAAAGAAAGAAAGAAAGGTGTTCTACCAAGCTTGCCTCCCAGAGACTTTCTTTATAAGAGCACCCTGGAATATTTTGATGCCTCTCTTTTGTGCCCATTTCATCCCTCATCCCTTAGGATCAGTTAACAAAACGTACATCCTCTGTTACAAAGACCTCAGCAAGTGTTGTCAGACCTCTTCTCCACTCTGATCTCTAACACTTTGTAGCCTGTTCAAAGTGTTCTCTGATTGTTAACCTGCCGGAGGGAGGGCTCGCCCGGGTCTTTCAGGATGGCCAGGTTGAATGTGGGAGGGTCTTTTCATCTTATACCCCATGTGAACTGAGGTGATTCTCCTAGGTGCTAACCCTTTCTCTGAGTTTCATCTACATAGTTCTCTGTTTGCTCCCCTCTTCCTCCTAGAATGCACATGGCTTTGTAGGGGAGAGAATTTTAGCCTGAGTACCAGAGGTGTCTGTGATGGAGGGCTTCTGATCTATTACTATGTTCAGTTTCTTGGAAGAGAGGAGAAGGGAAGAGGACTTTACAGAAAAGTTTGAGCTGCTATGGTGGTGGTAGGGAATCCCTTCGCTGCTTCTTGTGTTAAATAATTTATTTCTAGTTTTTGATTTGCACATTTCTGTTGATGCTTGCCTGGACTTATCTTCTGGGAGTGAGAAGTGGAGTTTTGGAATAACAGAGTTTTCTACAAAATATCAAGGGTCTTTTTATTTGAAGCAATCTCACTCCAGATAGTTGTTTTTTTTTTTTTTTTTTTTTTTTTTTTTTTTTTTTTTTTTTTTTTTTAACGTTTGGCTCTTGGATCAAATTAGATGCAGGTGTTCAAAACCCAAAGCCGGGCCGTTACAAATTAGCTCCTTGGTGGAGCTGGCTGCCAAGTCTGTGGCCCAGGTGTTTTTTTCTTCTCCCCTGTGGCATCTGAGAGCACCCCCAAGGACTGGGTGGGGAACATTCGGGTGGAGCAGGAAGGGCAAGAAAGAGGGAGGAGCTGTGGAGGGGGAGGGCTTCCTGCTGGAGCTGCACAGTGAGAAATGTAGCCTTCGCTCATCTTGAACTTTTCATTAGTTTAAGAGCTGGTGTTGGGGCAGGTCTGGTGAGCTCACCAGGCAGGTGCTTGGTCCCTTAAACTTGACCTCCTAGCCTGTGAGTTTGAGGTGACTCAGGAGGCTGGCAGACTAGGCTTGTTGCAGACACTACTCAGCAGGAACCATGGGACTATCGCTGGGTTTGGGGAGGCTTTGTCCTGCTTCTCAGTGATGCTTGTGGGGTCCCACAGGCTGAGTTATCATGTAGAGCTCAAGTGTTCTGAAAAGCCACTCTTGGAACTGCTGTCTGTCACCACACGGTGAACTAAGATTCGAGGACACATGCATTCACGGCAGTGTGGCCATAGGCAGAAAAGCCAACAGAGAAAAACAAAGCCACACAGCCAGCTTTCCAGAAGGCAAAAGTGACCTACGAGAATGGCTCTTTACTCCGAGTTTATATCCTTCTCCAGTTTTAACAAACAAACCCTGAAAGCTTAGTCATGTCAGTAGACATCTCGATTCTGATGAGTTCAAAGTGAGTGCTCCTGATCAGGGGCAGGCCTACCCTTCAAGAACCGGGGCTATTTCTCTCCTGTTACCCTGGGATCCTGAGTTGCCACCTGTGGGTGGGGAAAGGAAACGAGACTCTGTGTGGTCCAGGGTACGGTGGTCTTAAGCATCATCTTCCAGAGCTTTAGAAGGGACTCTGTCTCAGGGAGACACGGTGTTTCTCAGTCTGGGCAAGCCTGTGCAGTCTTGAGGAAGTAGACTGAGAGAGTAGCTAGTCAAGCCGGGACATGGTGAGTTAGCTATATCCCCACCAGGCAAAATAGAAATGGCTCACCCAGTCATTGGTTGGCTTATTTATTCTGTTTTTATTTCGATGCTTGCCGCCTTTTGGCTTATGGATTTAAAAAAAAAACATTTTCCTCCTCCTCCTCCTCCTCCTCCTCCTCCTCCTCCTCCTCCTCCTCCTTGGGGAGAGGGGCTCAGGGTTTCTCTGTGTAGCCCTGGCTGTTCTTGCCTTGTTTTGTAGACCATGTTGGCCTCGAACTCACAGAGATTTGCCTGCCTCTGCCTCCCCAAGTGCTGGGGTTAAAGGCATGTGCCACCATGCCAGAACTAAGCAATACTTTAAAATTATTTTTAATTGGCACACACTGGTCTATGTTCCTGGGATACAGTGTGATGATGTTTCAATGTGTGTGCAATGGTCAGATAATTGGCATATCCAGATTCCAGAAAGTCCTTTCTTTGTGTTGAGAATATTTAAAATCATCTCCATTTTGAACACAAATAACAGTTGTGGTCAATCATAATTATCCTACTGTGCTATAGGACACTGGTTATTCCTTCTGATGGGTAAGATGGCTCAATGGTGCTTGTGGCCAAGAGAGATTTCCTGGAACCTGCATGGTGAAGGAAGAGGCATGACTCCAGAAAGTTGTCCTGTTTTCTGATCTCCATATATGCTCTGTGTCACACACTCGAGAGCACACACGCGCATATATACACACTAAATATAAATGTAAAAACTGGTTATTCCTTCTATCCATTGCCCATCCCCAATTAGCTAGACCCCCTCCATCTCAGTCTTCACAGCCAATGGTAAATTTGTTTTTTGACTGAACAGGAAGTTTGAGTGTTTGGTTTACAGTTTTACAAGTGCATATCACACATACAGAATAAAGATCAGAGTAGCTGGGGACTGATGTCACCAAGGATGAAATTAAGCTTATGCAGTGATATCCCAGGAAGGTTTCCTTCAGTCTGGCTACATCTACAGTGTCACTGGCTGTAGGAGGAGTCGGAGTTTCTTCTTGGGGAAGGTGCTAATGGGAGAGTTTCCAGAGCAGTGAGAAAGGCTGCCCAGACCCCCTGTTTCACATCTCCGAGTCCGAGTGGCCTGAGCAGGACCAGGAGTCTCAATTTGGAATGTGTGGCTGTCACTCACCATGGGTCCTTGATCTCCTTTTGGTCTCTTTCAGGTCAGTCTGAATGACTCCCACAATCAGATGGTGGTGCACTGGGCTGGAGAGAAAAGCAACGTGATTGTGGCATTAGCCCGAGATAGCCTGGCATTGGCAAGGCCCAAGAGCAGTGATGTAAGTATCTTTGGCTCTGGGCCTTCCTGGGTGCTGTTGACATGCCCCTTCTGTTCCTCCAGGTTGTCATGTCAGAAAAATAAGTGGGTAATTGGGGAGTAGACATCAAGTAGATGTGTGCACTGTGGGGTGGCTTTTGTGAAGTCACAGGTGGTCTGCCTTTATAGCTCCACAAAGTGCTAAAGAACATTCCAGGGCAGAGCAGCTTGGAGCTGGTCCAGATTGAGTTAAACTGTTTTTTGTTTTTTTTTTTTTTCTATATGCCAACAAGGCTGATGAGCTGTTGACAGATTCATTTTCTTTCTTCTTTACTTATCATATATTATCCTTTATTGGCATGTACACTATGCTCAATATATTACCTGTCTATCTATCTATCTATCTATCTATCTATCTATCTATCTATCTATCTATCTACTTTTGTACCTATCAATCATCTGTCTATATATCTAATATCTCTACTGATATCTACCATCTATCTATCTATCTATCTATCTATCTATCTATCTATCTTCTATCTATGTATCTAGGCATGTATTTATGCATGCACTTATATATCTATCAATCAAACATTCTGTCTGACTATAACAATATCTCTATTGATATTGATCATCTATCATTTATCTGTTTTTGTTGTTGTTGTTGTTACAGCGTCTCACTCTAGCATACTCCATAGCATCTATGGCTTCCTCTTGCTAGCCTTGAACTCACAGCAGTCCTGCAGCTTCTGCCTTTCCAGTGCTGGGATTATGAGCACGAGCCACCATGTCCGACTGACACAAATTCTCTTAACTCTTAATTTGTTGATGATGTTTTGGTTATATGCTTTCAAGAGATGAAAACAAAGGTTACAAACCTGTTACAAGCCTGTTCAAGACTCCTAGACCCAAGATTGGAGGGAAGCTGCATATATATATATATTAGATATATTATCCCTTTATTTGTATGTATACACATACATACATACAAATACATACAGGGCCTGCCTATCTATCTATCTATCTATCTATCTATCTATCTATCTATCTATCTATCTATCTTTTTTTAAATTTATATACAGGGTCTCACTATATAGCCCAGGTTAGTCTGGAGCTTCCCATGTAGATAAGGCTGGCCTTGAACCTACAGAGACCCACCTGCCCCTGCTTTCCAGTGCTGGTGTTAAAGGTGCACACCATCATGCCTGGCACTTCCAAGTTCTTCATAACCCAAAAGAGTGCCTCTTCTGTTTGTTTGTTGTTTTTTGTCTGTGGCTTTGGATAGCAGGCTATTTCTGCACATTCTAAAGAGACACAGGCTCAAGAAACATCCTTCTGTCTCTTAATTTTAGTGTGATGACTGGTGCTTGGAGATGGACAGTTAGTCACTAGGAAGCAGAGCTGAGGTGAACAGGTACAGTACTACTGCAGTGAAAGGTTACTGGTCCAGTTCAGATATCCTGACTTTTCAGCAGAAGGTTATGGGTCTTTTGTTTTATTCTGTGGTGCTAAGGATGGAACCCAGGGCCTAGCACTTGCTAAGCAACCTCTCTACCATTGAGCTTTTACCCCCAGGCCAGTGGTCTTTGTGTGTAAAACTGCTAAGTCTTACTGGTTGGCAGCTAAAGCATAGTTCTTAAAAGTACCATGTAGGCCAAGTTAAAGTCTAGGGTCAGAGCCGGTCCTTGGCTCCCAAGTCTCCAGTCCAGACTTCTTACTGTGCGCAAAGCAATGGTCCCTGCCTTCAGGTGGGTGTCTACCTTCTCCACAAGGGTGATCCCTGTGGCTAGAACATGCTATAGACCTTTCCTCGCCCTGCACTCTGGCGAGAGGTTCCCTAGACTCTTGCTTTAAAGGTGCGCTTGTGACTCGTGATGTATCCTTGGTGTCTGAGAAGCCCCTGTCTATGCACCTGCTGTCTCCATTGTATATATTCAGAGGGGGTCCAGGGATGCTTTCTAGGGAAGCTGATTAGGGCAGCCACAGTCAGGGCGGCTTGAAGAAGGGCTGGCCATCAGCTGCAGAGCTCTGCCTAGGGAGCGTTCTGAGCCATGGAGCGTGGGTTAATGCAGATAATGGCTGGTCTGCGTGTTTTGATTTTGAGCAAGGCTGGACTTGTTTGGGGCAACAACTTACGCCAACTTAAATAAATATGTTCAAGGTTTGCAAGCAGTAGCTGTGGTCACACATGGGTGGCTGTGTTTGAATGCCTGCTGGCTTCGGGATGCTCAGTAGTCACCTGTGTGCATATTTAGTCTGGTGCTTGTTAATAGCAGTCTCTTTCGGGCACAGAAGCCAGCTCTATGCTATTCTATGTTAAGAAATCTTCAAGGTATTTATGTATGAAAAATAGTGCATTTTCCAGAAAATATTTGTCTTTGCAAAACAGGTAAACATATTTAAATGTTGTTTTATATCTTTGTTGGACACGCAAAGGGGCTTAGGGCACAAATGAATTCACAACGGGTCACTCAACATGTCAGTAGGAGATTGAGGGGAGCATAATAAAAATGAAGGCCCAGTTACGGATTTGACTTAGAATCATCAGAAGGACCCATTTTTCTGTGCCAGTATTGAAACTTCACATGTCAGGACTTCTCAGTCTTTAATGAACCAGGAGTATTGACCACCCAGCTATCACCAGCCTATCCTACTCCGCTCTCACTTTGTGGAAACGTTTATGTGTTTTGAAGAGCTTATTGGCCATTTGAAGTCTTTATTTTGGAATGGCATATGAGAGAAGATTAAATGGAAAGGAAACTTAATGTCCAGAGTTAATAAATAGAGATTGCAGTGTTTTCCCCTGTCCGTGCACAAACCACATTAAAGAATTGGCAGCCGAAACTGAGATGTTCAGATGCGAAAAGTTAGTGCAAAAATAAACTGTGACTCAGAGGCAGAGTCGGTGGTGCTGGCGAGGGAACAGTCCAAATGTTCCTTAAAGAGGACTGGAATCATGGTTCAGAAAGGCCCTATCTGGGAAGGAGGGAAGGAGTTTGCATACAAGTAAGGACCTGTATGACTGGCTTACATCATGAGTATTCTGAATGTAAACAAGGGTGGGCCCGGACACTGGGATCCCAGATGGCTTGCAAAAGGCAAACCAAACCAAACCACCTGTCATCAGTGATTATCTGCTGAGGACTGTCTCCTGCAAAGGTGATCTATTCCTGTAATGAGCTGATGAACTGTCACATAGAATGTGGTTTATCTCCAATCTTCTTGGTTCCTTATTTTTGCTTTCTGATGGTACATTTTAGAAAGTGCTCATGTGCCACCTATTATGGTGGCACACGTCTGAGATACTAGGCTTAGGCAGGAGGATTGTGAGTTCAAGCCTAACCTGGGTTACAGAGTGAGCTCTTGTCTCAAAAAACAAATTACAGCCCCCCCCCTCCAAAAATAAAAATAAAAACAAGAAAACCAAAACAAAACCCAAAACCAGAACACTAACCAAATAATCAACCAACTACCATCAGGCACAGGGAAGTGCCAAAAATGCTACCTGGAGACAATATCTACCAGAGGATCAGATTCAACCAAAATGCCATGCATAATACAATTCGTTTTTCTTGTCCCTAGAGCAGTGTGATATTATGATCGGTATTCTCCAGGATCAACTAGGTGGCAAAACTCCTGTGCTTGGGCTAGAATCCTGGCTCTGTCATTTGTAAATAATCTGACTTCGAGCCAAGTAATTTATATTATCTTAGCCTTTTTTTTTAATGGTTCCTATAACAAAATACTTGAGACAAATCTGCTTATAAGGAGGAAAGTGTATTTTGACTCGGAGCTTTAGAGGTTCTAGTTCATGGTTGTTGACCCTGCTGTGTTCAGTTCTCTGGGTGAGCTGTGTGTATACCTCAGTGGTATAGTGCAGTGGTTAGCGAAACAATGACCTGGTTGTGCAAGCTTCTGAGTTTGATTCTCAGAACCACAAAACCAAACAATACCCTTGTTCCCAGACTTCGGTAGCTGTGCTGGTTGCTTTCTCTGGGAACTCGACTCAAGCCAGAGTTCTCTGAGAAAAGGCTCCCATCGGGTTGGCCTGCAGACTAGCCTATGGGGGCGTTTTCTCGATTAACAATTGATGTGGGAGGGTCCAGAACATGGTGGTGCCACCGTGGGGCTGGGGGAGGGGGGTGTCTTAGGTGGTATGAAAGGCAGGCCCGGCGAGCCACGGGGAGGAAGCCAGTAAGAAGCATTCCTCTATGACCACTGCCTCAGTTCTTGCCTTTAGGTTCTTGCTTTGAATCCCTGCTTTGGCTCCTCTGGATGGTGAGCTGTGACCCGTAAGCCAAATAGACCCATTCTTTCCTACGGTGCTTTTGGTCAGTGTTTTCATCACAGCAACAGGAGGCAGATGAGAGTGGTACCAAAGTATGGTATGTAGGTCACCCACATGAGTGTTTCTGGGAGCTGCTTAGAAGTGCAGAGTATCAGGTTAACACCCCAGATTTCCTCCCTCTCCTCTCCATTTCCTTTGCTTTTTTGGGGGGGACATGCTTTCGAATTGCAGTCCAGGCTGGCCTGGGACTTAGTCTGTGGCCCAGGTTACCCTTGAACTCCTTCCTTTTTCTTGTCCTAGTCCCCACAGTTGTGGGATGATAGCTGTGAGCTGCCAGGCTTAGACTTCACTATGGAACTGCATTTGGCCAGTGTCTTGCCTGGGCAGTTAACTCCACTAAGATGGTAGCAGCGCTCTAGAAGGCTTGGGACAGTGCCAGGGGAGGGGATGTCTTCTGACATTTCAGTCTTTGCTCCTCCTACCCTCCATTATTATTATTATATAATTTTGAACTACATGGAACTTCAAAGGACCATCTTTGTGAGTAAGGAAATGATTTAATTGGGACCTTGGGGTAGTTTAGTCACCTTCCCACAATAGATTTTTTTTCCTTTTTTGAAAGAAAGAGTGTCATATTGAGGTCAGAGAGGACTAATTAGT